TCTAGCTGTCTCTGGCTTCCATACTTTGAATCACTCACATGCAAAAGGTATGCAGTGGTGAAGGCTGAATAATGTAAGAACTCCTGTATACTTGCTCCAGGTCAGGGACTTAAAGTGACATTAAACCCTCCATTTTTTTCCCCCATTCTAATTCTGCTGTAAGGACTTACCTTAAGTGATGCCTCTTGATCTGAACATCATCTTCCTTCCAGCAGTTTTCAGCAGTCCCTCCAGCACTGGTGTCGGTCAACTGATACAGCGCAGACTGCTGTGTCTTCTTGCCCCATGGAACCTGTCCTATGTGCACGCTCATGGCTGCATGCATTGATTTCTACTGAGTATCTCCTCTTCTCCTGGCCAGTGATCTCCACTGCGCATGTGCCCACACACATCCTCCTGCATGGCCGTTCGGGGAACCTAGATGCTGCAGACGCAAGCAAGCAGCGGAGACAGAGGTAAGTATTTACCTATTTGATAACTTTTTTTAATGTTTTTGCATATAGCTAATGCTTGCTAGTAGTAGCTATATGTAAAAACATTTGAGACTTTAAAGTAGATGAACAAAGGCAGCCTAAACTCATTTTACATTTATTACTTTTTTTTAAGTAAAAATAAAAATAAACGTTAAATACTGTTTCTGGAAAAAAAAAATCTGCCTCCCTACAGTACTGATCAAGTCATTGCAATTGTAGCCATTTGGTCATGTAATCTTTAATGAGATGACTTCTGCATTCAAATGTTAATAGTAATAATATATACAGGTGAAACTCGAATAATTAGAATATCGTGCAAAAGTAATTGCAGTAAGTGCTGCAAAAGGGGCCCAAACCAAGTACTGAGTACATATGCATGATTGTACTTTTCAGAGGTCCGATATTGTTCTATGTACAATCCTTGTTTTATTGATTGCATGTAATAATCTACTTTTTTGAGGTTGTGGATTTGGGGTTCTTGGGGTTTTCATGAGCTGTAAGCCATAATCATCACAATTATGACAAATCACGGCTTGAATTATCTTGCTTTGCATGTAATGAGTCTATCTCATATATTAGTTTCACCTTTTAAGTTGCATTAGTGAAATAAATGAACTTTGCACGATATTCTAATTATTCGAGTTTCACCTGTGTATATATATATATATTTTTTTTTTTTTTTTTGCTGTGTGAATAGGAACTCATAACAGACATACATTGGGGTTTTCTTAAATCCCAAAAGTGGAAAAACAAACCAGCAATGACCGCTCCCCATATTTATATCCTTTCATATTCCCTTTAGGCATATTGATCTGCATTTACCAATATAGTAAATGTCTGATGACTTATGCTTTGCTGGCAATGTTTCAAAAGCACATTGTCATTAGTGTAATGTACAGTCTGTTTCATAGCTATCCTTCAAGTTAGTGCTTGTCACTGCAGTCCATGCAAGCTGTTTTTAAAAGGGCTACAGATAACACAACAATTTTACTGAGGTTATGAATCTGTAATCTTGATCAATAGGTTGTCTGGGTGTTTCTTCTGTACAATGGCAGTATGGTGATTGACAAACTTTCATGGAGGAGGGTGTAGCTGTATTGAGGTTACCCAAAACTGTAGTAAAAAAAGAATCAGCATTCCAGAGTAAACTTCACAGTGTAGAAAATCATTTCAGCCTTATGGACTGCTCCATTTCCCCATTGGAGGATTTTTCATCTATTTATTTTTTAAAGCCAACTATCCCATCACTTTCTCTCCCAACACAAGACCACCAGGTAAATTAGAGAGTGAATCTCCATAGCAGGGACACCGATAGGGGCTCCAATTTTTTACCACTCTATCCAGATCTTTAAAAAGTAAAACATTTTACTTTTAGATATACATTAAACTAAATTTTCATGTCTTCGTAGACTGTTGTTGGGGATTATGATCAGGTCCAATTTAAAGGAAACAGTGGGCTTCTTTGAGAGGGATAGCTCTTTAAATGGGTCATATGTCTGAGGGCCCTGCCTGGTTCAAAAAACAAAAGCACTTATACTAATCTGGTAACTAATATTGAAGTAATGCTTGCAAATTACTATATATTACCCCTAAAACTCGTCCTGATGTATTCAGCTGTAAAATAGTTGAAAGAAGTGTAACCTTTATCAACTAAATAACAACTTGGATCCCCATTCAATTCAAATTACTGGATTGTTAAAAAACATTTTTTGGGTGATTGTTGTAATAAGCTGCGCATTGCCTCTTGTACAGTACATCCTATTGACTCCCATATAACAGCAACATTATAACAGTATTATGTAATACAGAAGTTAAGCATTTGCCATATTTATTGTTTGGTAGCAACAAAAAGCAATATCCTCTTGTGACAAACCACCTAGGTCTAACTGGGCATCCTGCTGAGGAAACTGTTTCTTTGTTTAATGTTTTGCAGAAAACAAAAGATACAAAATACATTAGTCTGTTTCTTGGCTCCGTATTCAAATTGCAGGAAAATCCTAATTTCCCCCTGTCTCTGCCAGTATCCTGGAAAATGGCAGGAGTCATGTAGCCCGTTGACTTGCAGTTGGCACTAGACATAATGAAACGGCTCTGACAAGTGTGAAATTCCTACGCTTATTGTCTGGATCTGTTGAAGTAAGGAGGTTATTTTAGCCAATCTTCTCTAAGTGATGCATGTAAACAAAGAGAGCCATTCTATACAAACACAAACTATACGGTATATACGGTGCATTTATACAGAGGCAGATTTTACTGGCAAACCTATGTGGGTTTATGCAGTGTCTGTGAATGTACAAAAAAACATTTTAGACTGAAGAATATTCAATAGCTGGAATTTTCTCATACTTGCAAACAGTAGCAGAAAAATGGCTGTGGTGGCTGCTTGGGGCCCAGCCTACCATGCCCGCTGTCCAAGTGTACTTCCAACAGTGTTATTCAAATGTAATCATTAGCACTGTCTGGATGTCCATTCCCCATTTTGGGTGTCTCGGCACTGCTATCTGTAGTAGGAGAGTAAGTTACTTGCTGTGTTGTGCGCGATCTGGAGTTTCTTTGAAGTAAAATAATGAGATATGTTCAGCAAATGTGCAACTTTTATTCTGTGATACATCCCTTTTGGAAGTTATAAGCTATGACTTCTCCTCATACACTGCTTGGCCAAAAAAAAGGTCAACACCTGGATTTAGTTAAGCAAATAGATAAGAGCTATAGGTGTTGCTTTAAGGTGCCCATACACCTAATGGTTCTAGTTCGGAAATCGTCCACGAATGGCCTTTCGAACAATGATCGATCAGTCGATGGAAACCCAACATTTAAAAAAAAAATTTTTGACTGTAGTCCTGGCCAAATTTTCTTGGAGGGTGAGGCTAGAAAACCTTTTTTGAATCGTATGGAAATCCATGGATTAGTGGCGTTTTCGTACCCCAGAAAATGGCAACAAAAACACTGCACATGCGCAATTGAAAATCCATTCTGTTGATTTGGTGAGTTAGAATTGCTATCAAACGATTATCAAAATCAACATTGGTCTGTGCATGATGGGCTAGAATCGAAAGAGGGTTGTTGGCAGCAAAAAAAATTCTGAAACCATGTGGGAAATGAACTGATTTTTTAAGAAGGTGCTACTATGTAACTTCCTTGTTTTTCCCACTGGAGATTAGTACGTGTATTTCAGATACCAGCGGACACCAAAGGATAATACGTTATATGAAACGTATTATCCTTTGGTGTCAGCTGATTAGCATATATGAATGAGAGCACATTATACAAACAGATCTGCGTACCTGAAGATTTATAATTGTATGTCATGCTTTTTTTTTTTTTTTTTTTTAAACCAGTTAGTGATATGATATTTATGTCCAAAACTGATATTTTATCTAATTAAACTCTTTTTGTAATTGGAATACTTGTCCCAATCCTCTGTTAACCCTTTTTAAACCAGCAACTCTTGTTAGCTGGTTTATCTTTTTTGTATATAGGGTTCATTTTGGTTACGGATCTGGTTGACAAAAATTAGATAAAGGGTAATTTAAATGGTTCGGATCTCCAGGCAGAAACAAAATCGTTTTCTATTAGTACTGCAGCACCGCATGGGGGCTGGGCACATGGAACAAAAATAATATATGCCTGTAATGTTGTTTAACTTTATATAATATTTTTAAAAAAGACATTAAATAATGAAATTAATAAGTAGATCTTGCCATTGCTAACTAAGGCTTGTATCCCCCTAGTGGGGAAAATAGATGAGCACATGTCCAGACTCCAGAACACTGTATAGTGTGGCACAGCTATATCAAATTCTGCATACCTGGCTTTATATTATAAAACATGTATAATATAAAGCCAGGTATGCAGAATTGGATATGGCTGTGCCACCCTATACAATACAGTGTTCTGGAATCTGGAGTCTGGACATGTGCTCATCTATTTTCCCCACTAGGGGTGATACAAGCCTTAGTTAGCATTAGCAATGGCATGATAAATATTAATTTCATGTTCATGTTCTTCATAATATGAAGAAACTGACCTAAAATCATTATTTTGAATTGCTTTAGAAAAAATGTGACCTGCCCCTTTAAGAAAAAGTATCGGTAATTGGTTTCGGTGAGTACTTGAAAAAAAGTATCGGCACTCGTACTCGGTCTTAAAAAAGTGGTATCGGTGCATCCCTAGTTGTGATATTACTCAAGCTTATGAAAATGATGGTGAATACGTGCTGTAATCAAAGCAAAAGGCGCTCCAACTAAATATTAGAGCATGTGACATGTTTTTTGGCCAAGCAGTGTAGTTCCCTGGTATAAAAAAAGCATTTAGTTACCATAATGGTAATCAAACCTTGCTCAATGTTACCATGCTTTTTTAACCAAATCACACTGGTTTAGCCATGCCTACCCTTGTCGCATGTGATGAGCAATAGTGGTGTGAGGTAAATATGGTCCAACTTCAGCATATGCCTACTACTGGCCAGTGTATTTTTATGTTCAAAAGTTATGTCCTTTGTCATAAAATAATTTCTTTACTTTCTAGACTTATCTTATGAAATATGGCTACCTTAAAGAAGAACAATGGGACTACAGTGAAGCACAGCTTGCAGTGGCAATAAGGTAATGAGACATTGACCATATGCATAGAACCTCCAGATTGACTTCATTTAAAAGGCAAAGCAGTGGTTACAGTAGATCTTTGTCCTTCAGTTGGTTACTACTTAATACTGATTCTCTCTCCTCATGTGTTCTGCAGCTGGAAGTTGCTTTTCAAAAAAAATCACTTAATTATGGCTTTGAATATACTCATCAGTTCTTTGAGTTAAGTCACTTGTGCATTTAACAAACAACACCATTCAATGTTTTTAACACATCAAAGCACCATCATTTTATTTGCAGGTTTATTTCCCCCTAAATTTGAGGTCAGGACCTCACACCCTAATATAAAAAGTTACTTTTGTGAGAGATAGCAATAAAAGTCGAAATATGAACAATTCCTTTTTTATTTCACATGTTGTTGTTTCTAATTTTTCTCCCCATTGATATGCAGGTCAAGCTGTCCGGCAAAATATGCGGTGACAGGGATTTTGATTAACTATAACATTGCTATTGGTGCCTGAGCAGTTTCAGAAATATATTTAGAATATTTAAACCATGTGAATAAAAGGTGACTCTTGTAAGCCCCCCCTGGCAGTGTTATAGTTTGTCCCAACCCCTTTAAGTGCCACTTTTGGTAGACCACTTGGTCTGCGTGTAAATGTAGAGTCAAAAATAAAGGCCTGTGAAATAAAAAATAATGGAAATATGGAGAAATGCGGAATGCTATTTTTAAAAGTATTAATTATATACAGTTATCTGAATACAATATTTTTGTGATAATGGTACACATGCCCTACAGGTCTAAGGGCTTAGTTACTCTAGCCCCAGCACTAGGAGTCTCCAGTTCCTGAGTGGCAGCTCCCTGCTGGTCATTAATCATAGACATTTATTCCTGCAGTCAGGAAATGCCTGACTGATTGAACCCCCTTACCAGAAAATGACGGGATTACCATGGTAAATAGATATGATGGGATTTTATGGCTCTTAGTTTGAAAAGGTAATCCACAACAGTTTCTTCTTCAGGCAAGGGATGCAGCTTCTGGAGTTACATAGTTACATAGTATTTGATGTTGAATAAAGACATATGTCCATCAACTCCAACCTATTAAGTCTGTTTTAATTGGCAACTGTTTCCCTGTATTTTTTCACTCTACTTGTAAGTGGATGTTTTTTTTGTGCAGTGGTTTGAGTCCCAAAACAATTCTAGATACATTTTTTGCAGTTTTTAAACTTTTTAGGTTCTAGGCCAATGGTACCAGTAAACCAGTGCGTAACAGGGATTTTATTGCTTACAGCCATGCCAGAATATTGGACAGGCTAGATAGACCTAGGCCATTTAGATTAATAGGGCAGTGCCTGAGACTCCTGCTGAAATATGCCATCAGTAAACTGCTATCAGGAGATTGTTAAAGTTAACTACAAGTACACAGCAGTCGTTGTCACTCATTCTTAGCCTATTGGTAATTCTGTTCTCTATGACTAAGCCCATTATTGGGTGAGACATGAAGAGGATCCACGATGGGAAGATGTGTACCTGTGTGCTACAAAAAACTTTTAATCGAAGCTTGCGGTGTGCAATCTGACTTTTTTTCTGTAAATAACTGCAAAATTCCTGTATAGAGGTGTAAGAACCTCATTGATGGTTGCAGGAAGCAATTGATTTAAGTAATTGTTTTCCAAGGGCTGTGCTACCAAATATTGAGGGTGCCAATAGTTTTGCCCAGTCCATTTTTTGAGTTTTGTGTGGAATGTGTCAGATTTGGCTTTTTTTTTTCTTTTTCATGCCAATACAAACAAAAGAAGTAAACATGAGAATGCCTAAACATATTTGTAATTGCAACAATTGTCTGCGCGGTGTGGTGCATTATTTGACAGAAATGCAGAGGTGCCAATATTTTTGTCCGTGAGTGTGAAAATATA